CTTTTTTTATTTAAACATGTTAGCCACATACTGACTAGATCCACTGAGGGGTTTTCTGTTAAGGCACAGTTAGAACTGTTTGGATCTGTCTGTCAATCATCCAGACTTTCTCCAGTAAGTGTGGATGCCAACTACACCACAGATACCTGTAGTTGTTCAGGGTTGTTCACTTTTAGCATGCAAGTCCAAAAGTTTTTTTCCATGGCAATTTTTAAGTTGTTCTTCCTTACCTATATTCTTAGCTGAGCTTCTTGAGCTCAGATCACACACCTTTTTTCCAAGCTCTTTCTCAGTCCTGCATAAAGTACATGTCTTTTGTATTTGCACTCTTATCCTCAGACATCAGTCTTGGGAGAAGGAAGAAGACGTGGTTCATTCTTCTGGTCACTGTGTCACAGCAGAGTAGTCCTTGAAGAGTGTCAATTCCCCCTTGACTATTCAATAAAAGGGCAAAACATGTTGCTTTAAAGGCAAAAGTTTCCAGAAGGCACCAAAGTAGCCTTCAACATCCAGTTTAAAGCTTACATGATATTTTTCCCGCAAGCCCTGAAAACACATCTGGGTTTCAAATTGTTAGGTTAAAGTTTTTTCCTGGCCATCTCACCATTTTGGAATACCTTGGTACTTGCTGGGTTCTTTACCAGTCAACATATAACTGCAGGGATTGCAACTTTGTTATTTAACAAGGATACAATGTGCGCTTTCGAAGGTTGCATTAAGCCCAATCCCTTTTGTTATTTCCGTCATGAGTGTGTGGCTGTCCTTAATCGAACACTCTTGGATGCACGTGGCACTCTGAGTATGCTGTTGTAGTGTGCGATGGTCTGAGTATGCAATTGTAGAGTCTTTAACCTGCCTTTGGAGGTAGAGTGACATTTCTTTCTTGGGAAAAGTAGTGATTTAGACAATTGAAATATGTGGTCAGTGTCATCAAATGGGTTGCAAATGTTGATATGTAATGGAGGGAAGGGAATCACAAATTACTGATACAGTTTCTGGGTTACAGAAGGAGGATCAGTTTTAGGAGGAGTAAATCTGCAGTGAATTTAGGCTTCCTGTGGTCTGTAGATAGAAGAAAGGTGGCATTGTCAAGTCAAAGATGACTTGTCAAGTAGTAATACAGATAAATATTTCTGTGAAAAAGTTGAAAAGGAAAGGACTGATAAATACAAAACCAGTGTCTGGCCTGTATGTAGAGGGCAGGCAAGGCAAAAGATTGGAGCTCATGTTGAAATTTTATCTGAGAACCTCTTATCTTTGAATGGTTGATGAATTTTTAGTGGTGGTGACTTTTGTTTTCTTGGGCCTCCTTTAATATTTTTCATTAATTCATATTCAGTGCAACCTAATCCAAAGAAAACACTGGAGTCTTAAGAACGAGGAAACTTAAACTCAGTTTACACATCCACTCTTACAGTATCCACAGATTGTTTGCAAGTAAGGTGAATGAAATGCTACTGATTGAAAATTTCAAGCATTAGCCTTGTAGGATTCTTTTCCACACAATTTTGATGAGTAATCTCCCCATGACGTTGTTGTAATACTCTAAATATATTGTAAGATCTTATCTAAAGCCCTCAAATTTTAGTGTGTTGAGCTTTCATAGAAGGAAAACACATTCAGCACATCGCTCAGATATTTTGTCTGCAATATTGGAAGTATTTTTCAAAGACCATGTGAGCCATGACATGAGTGTAATGGAATTTTTATTTTTCATCATATATGGTCTTATTAATATGGGAACAGAAATAACACTATTTGTCAGACTTAGGTCCTTTTGACCCCCTTTATTCATCTCTAGCTCAGTTGCTGGTATTAGTTACAGTCAGAGAACACTTACGAATTTTTTTTTAAATTATGTGTTTGTTTCATAATGGAAGCTGACTTAAGTAATTTCTTATAGTTAAAAACACTATATAGGTGAAGCACAAGAGCCAAGACAAGGAAATATTCTGTTACATTCACAGAGGGGCTCTTGTAACAGAGTTTTGATGGGAAATTACTCCCAATAATGTTGTTAAGGCTTGATTTCATTATAAAAGAAGCAGCCAGCCACAACAAATTATTTTCAAGTTCTATTGGTTTTGTATATACAGTTGGAAGAAAGAAACAATGTTCTTTGTGCTTTTTCCATTTATGTTTAGCCTCATAGGTTTACTGAAATTGGGATTAAAGAACAGCTACTTTTAACAAATTTTATGACCTGTTCTTGAACTAGACACTTCTTATACACATTGTAGTGTGACTGGCTTAAAACAAGCTTTTCATCTTCTTTAGGGTGTTTGTGAAGTATACTGCACTTAGCTGACAGTATTAATAAAAGCATTTTTGTGTGTGTATTTCACCAAACTTGCATTATTGCAGTGTACACTTACTATTTTCTAGCCTTTTCTTTAACTGTAGCAGTGTGTACATCCATACATTTATCTAAGGTTTCTCAACATCTGCCTAATTTTCCTCAAAGGATTCAACTAAATAAGAATACATAAAGCTGAAAAAGATTAGCCAACTTCCTTCACTCATCTCATACTTGGGGAACAGTGATTAGTACTCCCTATCATTTTGAGTGGGAAGACACATTTCCTTACTTTCTGCCTTGATTTTCAAGATGTTCTAGACTTATCTTTTAGCTCTCCAGTCCACCCATTTTTTGTCCTAAAGTAAAATGACCGTTTTGTTTAGAGAGGTAGGAATGAATGTGGAAGCTGCAAAATGCCATTAAACAACTGCAAAAGTCACAGCTTGTGCTTGTGAGGTGTTCAGAAAGTTCAGATGCTGCCTGTCTCCCACGTGATTCAAGTTCTTCATAGCTACTGAATTCTGAAGTCTTTGTAGTAATCAAAATCCTCACTTGGGTAATTTTTTTTTTGTTTTTGTAAGTTAGTATCCTGAATAATCAAGATACAGCATTAAATGCTCACATGTTTTTAGTAATTTAAAATGCAGTGCAGAAAAATGTGATTTTTTTGTCCCAAGTGCATATTTGCCAATTTCTTCAAATAGTTATGGAAAAGAATGCAGCATTAGATAGCCAGCCTCCATGTAATTCCTCTGTAAGCCAAAGCCTGATGCGTTTGTTCTACTGAACAGAATTTTCCATGTTCAGCTCAATATTGGACGTTGTGTTTCTATAAGAACTGGGAGGGACAGGGTGCGTTAGTTGCAGTCATTTCCTAATCACTGACAGGCAGTTCCTTTGCCAGGGTAACTGCCCCAGCTTAATATGGAGGAACATCATAACTGTGACGAAGGTTTTTCAGAGGAGATCTAAAAGTTTTTTTTTATCCATTCCTGAACATTTGGCCTGATGCTCTTTTCTGGGTGTAAGTCTAATTTTTTTAAATTTCATGAAGTTTGGTGACCAAAATTTAAGTCTATAAAATCACTAGTTACTATTACCATTCTTGCCCATTTAGTATGCATAACTTTATCTGGATTGGCCTCACTGGCTTTAGTCATGCGCATGTATCCAGTGGAAATTTAATATGAAATGCTGAAATAGTCCATGATAGTAGGGAGTAAGACCAAGATACCTTTCTTTCCCACTCTTGTTTGCTACAAAACTGCAGCTCATCCTGATTAATGTGCTCTGTGTCCAGTGCAGCTACTACCAAATTTCTCTGTGAGGAGGATGCAGGTTCACCAAGAAGGGGCAGACAGTGTCCGATTGTCATGTGGCATGGTGATTAAAACATTATCCTGAAAAATGGGAGTGGAAGGTTTCTGTTTTATAATGTAGCACCCTCCTGAGTACTTTTAAAAAAGGAAGGCTAAGTGAGGGAGGCTCTGTTCATGTCCTAATCTTTGAAAAATTGAATTATTCTCAGATTCTTTTTTTTAATATAGGAAAGGACACCTATAAGTGATTGCCTTTTCTCTGAACTCTGATGACAACTTTAAACATTGTGAAGCTAGTATTTGTTCATTGAAATCTTCCACAAAAGCGGTATTTTAAGGGTTCATTAATCCTCTGGATTAAAGGAAATATGATTATTATTATTCAGGCCTCTGAAATAGTAAAAAAACACTAGGCAGTTCTGTAAATCAGATATTCAGTATATACAGATCTATATTCTGTATATAAATCTTCAGGAATATCGGGACAGACAGAGCAGTTAAGTCAAAGAAGTGAAGACTGAGGAATGCCAACAGCGTGTCATGTGTGGGCAGCTCCCATTACTCGCTGCCTCAGTTAAGCCTGGTACTGACTAGTGTTGTCAGTACCTTTCACATATAAAACTTCAACAGATTTTCCTAAATGTTTTTATTATTTTTTTTTTCTGGAAAAGGAAATAGAGCTAAGTTCCAACAACCTACAGAAAATATTATTCAATCCAGTGAAATTCAAGTCACTTGTAATAACATTTTTCATACTTTTAAAAGCAATGTAAGTAGTATGAAGTCTTGACACATACACAAGCATGTTGCAATTACTGGAAGCCAGGGTGTTACAGATCTTCAAAAGTATGTTTGTGAAGTCCAGTAGGCATTAAATAGAGTACAGTATGATCTCGTATCATGCAAGCAGACTGTCAATTCTGATTCTTCTCTCAGAAGTCCTTAAACAAGAGTTTGAGAGGAAAATAAATGAGAGAGAATTTATTCCCTATACCTACCAATTGGAGTATTTAACCATAAGTTAACGAAAAGATCATGCTGGGGCTCAAGCTTAACAACACACAGTGTCATCCTCTGCTTTGCTGTGTTCACTTTTGTATTTTGTGTTTTGCTCTCTAGTTCACTTTTTCCAAAACCATTAAATGCCTACTAGACTGGTATTTCTGCTGTAACACTCACCCTCAGGTCTCGTCTCTTTCCTTTTCTGAGTGCAATATTAATGGACCTCTTTCAACTGCTGTTGTCACTATAAATGCTCATTATAAATAGACTGTGCTGAGAAATTAGGTCATATGACAAACACCCTATTTTTTTCAGTTACTGTCAATTTACAACATCAATAAAGTATATAATTTTTTGTTCCTATTTTTCAACTTCTGTAGATATCACAAGGAGCATCTCTGAATGATTTAAGGAAAAAGAAGAGGCGTGCCCCTCTTCCACCAGCTGCATCTGCTCCACCCACTCCTGCCATGCCAAACAGGACAGAAGATAGGGAAGACAAGAGGAAGAGCACAATGGGTGAGAGGTGTTCTTTTCTCCTGTATAATCCCTATGCATGTGCTCTCAGTGATCACTGTTTGAAGTTGTCTTAATTCTGTCATGCTGTGAGTTTGGAAACTTTTGTAACTTGGGAGAAAAAAATGCACTTCTCTGCGGAATGAAAGTCTGGAAATGAGTCGTTGTATATAACCTCTATTTCTTTTTTTGTTTCTTTTGAATAACACTTAGTGTACCATAGGGGAGTAAAATGTAGATAATACTCCTCAGATTATTTGAATATTTGACAGAAGGTCAAAAGGCCCTAGGCCTTTTCTGTGCCTTTAATATCATGATCACTTTGCTAGTAAGTGGAAATACAGAAATAGTAAGTGAAAACGCTAGTAAATGGAGACAGGCCAGGCAATACTGAATGCATATGAAGCCATGAAGTGGATAGAACCGCAGTAAAGCCAAGCTAGTTCAATAGTAGTCTTCCAAAAGTCTGACATCAACTGATGATATTCAATAAAGTTTTTGTTTCAAATTTAGTCCTTATTTTTGTTATAAATCGATCTCTGCTGATTCTTTCTAATCAGTAGAAGAAAAGAACTGGTACTCTCGAAGGAATGACATACATAGCTGGAGACAACAAAAGAAGCTGTAGACTTGAGCTGCGTGTGACACCACATTTACTCATACAGGAAGACTGAAAAACATTCTCCCAGACCTCTGTCGTTACCTGACTGATAGCTTATTCAGATTGGTGGAAGCTCTGCCCAAGTGAGGACCCAGAGATTATGCTTTTAGCAAGCAAAGTGATTTTATGATGGGTGAAGATATGAGATAATAACCCCACATATTGAAACTCATTTTTGAGTACATTGAGAGAATCATTCTTCAAGTGCTGTAATGCACTCAGTGCACTGCAGTTCGTGCCTTTGACCTCATGTTTCATAAAGTGCCTAAGACATACAGATATGACATTCTGTCATACATAATTGCTTGCATTACAAATGCCTCACAGTTTAGAAAGAAACCTCTTGGCTTTGTTCCAACATTTATTTTCAGTAGATGCTTCACATTTAATGCCTCAGCATTTATGTAGCAGCAGGAGTCCATTATCGTGTGACATGTTCAACTCCATTGACATCTCTTATTTAAACTCTCTAAGGGGAATATTATCACTGTGTCATATAACACAGGAGTTTTCATCAAATATACTTACTTTTAACCACTGCAGATGTCACACTCACACATCGCGTGCTTTGCCGTACTGCTGGTCACTTTTTGGTGACATTTGGTGCTTTAACTTTTTGTAAGTGTTCATTTTATTTTGTATTGGTACTCAGAATGTTACAGACGAAGTAAAGCAGAACAAAGCCACTTCAAGTCCATTCAGTACTATGTACATAAGTGCTTTCTGGCCAGACTCTGCTCATGTAGGATCCTGTAGTATCGTTTACTTTAATGGAGCCTTATTATTTTACACTGACAAAGAACTCGTCCACAGTAGCCCTGTCTTCAGTGCTTTTCATTTTCTGCTACTTTATTGAATGAATGTGTTCATTAACAAGAAAAAATGTTACAGCCGGAGAAGGCTGGTAAAACAGCCTCTCCTCGGAGCCCTTGCAAGAAAACAATGAGAAAGCACAGATGGCTCTGAAAGCATGAGATAAAAGCTGTGAAAAAAGCAAGACTGTAGTGAGGAGAAAACGTGTTGCAAGAAATAGTCAGCCGCATGATGGAAAAAGCATTAAAGCTACCTATGTATCTCTCAAGTTAGCCATGTGAATTAAAGCAAAAGATCCTATCAGAAATATCCTCCAACTGGCAAGTTCACTTCAATAATGAACCATTTACTGTGACTCCAAAGTATTTTGCCAAATTTCCTCAAAGCAGTAAAAAAGTTCTTGCATGTTTGCCAGTATTAAATTGTTTCTCTGGAAGATACTCCTCTGGAAGCTAGTGGCTCCTAAGTAGAAAATCATAATGGTTTAATCTTTTTTCCTCCCTCTCAGTGCTACTTCCTTTCTCAGCAGCCCCAAAGCATGAGCCTGAGAGTACAGGAATGATCAGAATGGATCAAACCAAAGATGTGTCTGCCAGTATCCATCTTCAGCAATGACCACAGAAGATGCTTAAGGCAGGGTATGAGAGGAGAACAAGCAGGTTCCTCAGTGCACTTTAAGCCTCTAAGGACTTTCCAAATTGCAATAACTCTAGTTCTGTATACTACAAACAGGCAGCAGCTTTGTAATATTGCAAGTGATTCATATAGTGCAAAGGTGCATGTATTTGTTTTGTTATTGCACATAGTGTAGAAATAAACCCCCAGCCAAAGTTATGAGCATTTCCTTTGATAGATTCAAACACACTTTTGTAGAAAACAACTTAATCATCTGCTTCTCTACAATGTCAAAATAATAAAGACCTATTAAAAAAAAAATAACAGAAAAACGTGTAAGATATCTACTTCAAAATACTGGCCTGAGGCATCTTTCCCTTTCTCTCAAAGAGTCGGGAAAATAGTCGCAAGAAATATCTTAGACATCAACAAATTCAGGCAGTTTTGTACTTCAGACGATAAAAATAAAACACATTTTTCACATTTTCATAGATAGTTTTTAAAATTTTTTTTTATTCAACTATTTTTTCTCCTTCCTTATGTCTGCCAAAACTGGTGATTTTAACTGTTAGTTGTAATGTACATGTATGCATGGGGCTCAGTTCTGGTCCCATTGCTGTTGGTTTAAGAAAGACCTACCTTTTTCTTCTCCCTTAATTATTTGGGAGTAACCAAGAGCAGAATTAGACCCGGAGAGACTTCAGATGTGGGTAAGGCAAAATCATTGTGTTTTTTAAAAATAGCAGTAAACAGAGCAATCATTATCTTGCAATGAAGTAACTAGTCAATTGATCCCCCTGTAGGTGATGGACGGCAGGTGCCACAAAAGCCTCCTAGAGGCACCACTCGTGGTCCACCCCACTTAGTGATCCCCCCACCCCCACCTTACCCTCCTCCTGGCAGTGACATTGTGGATCCAACAGTGTGTTACAGAGAAGCAGATGTTACAGCACCAACAGAGCTGGTACCTAAACGTATGTTTGAAAATATATGTATTTTCATCTCCATTCTTTTGATGATTGCTTTCAGGGGTAGCTTTTCCAGACTTTCCTCTCTGCACTTTAGACATTGATGTCTGTTTTTCCCCCTCTTTTCAGCCTGTTGTCTTTCAAAATGTCCAATGCAGTGTAACTAATGAATATAAAGTAAACAAAATGTTTATTTGGAGACAGTTTTGCAGATAATACCTGGTCATTGTATAGAAGCATTTAAAAATAACCATCAAGTTTTGTGGCTATGCACAACTGAAAGGAAAAGATCTGTTATACTAATTCCCCATATTTGTTTTTCTGTACTAACATTTTTTTTATCTCCCCAGAGACTAACTCCTTTGAGAGTCATTAGGTCTATCAGTCTAGGTTGAGAACTACAGGATATTCCCTTAGGAAAATTAAACCATTTACAGGAGCTGTATATTCTTAACATCTTTCTTGGCATCTCTGGATAGTCGTTTGTGTCTCTTCACCTTGGGGCGTAACAGTTATCAGACAAGTACAGTATTTTCCACGTCCTTGTGTACTTGTGAAAAGCCTGTTTTCGTGCTACTATTTCGTGCTTATCCACTGTCTTTAAATCTTTGTACACAATCCAAGTCTTTGATCATGTATTATGTTCCCTGTGGGCTTGCCCTGCACACCCATGTAGATCCAGTAAAAGCAGCAAAGCTCTGTACATTATGACATCTCATGGATGCACTTCCTTTGAAGGCTGGGATGGTGCCACCTAACCACGGGATAGAGAAATGTGTCTATTAGCTCCTAAGCTGACAAAAGATCTCTTTCCAGGACAGTTTCTTTACCAAAAGTACTCTGCAGGTAATAGTTACTCTCATACAATAATGTTGGTGTGTTTGCTGTTGATTACCAGCTAAATCTAAACCATTATTTTTCATATTTGTGCTGAGGAAATACAAATTGATAAGTTTTATTGGAGGAAGGGAAAGAAATTAAGGAGATCATACTAACAGAAAACCTGAATCTTATTGAGGATTAACCCTAAGTCATTTTTACCAGCTTATGCACTGAAATCATATCATACTTAAAATCTTCTTTGTGTTCTAGATACCATCAACTTGCCTACAATGTTTTCTTTATTAAAAATCCATTGTGGCCTTCTTTACATTAGTATTTCTGCTTCATTTGAGTTTCTATCACTGTTATTTTGCAATGCTTTCCTGATCTACCTTGGTGATCAAATACACTTTAATCAATGCAGCACTGATGTAATCAGTGTGATCATTTGCTCTTAAATAAACACAGTATCTCAGCCAAAAGGATTTGATTAAGCTTGTACAGGGAAACATAACATGAGTTTTTATTATCCTCAATTTACTGAGAGCAAGTGCTTAGTGGGTACTTATTTTAAAGTGTCAGTGTTGGAGAGGGACAAGTTTAGCTCTATAATTATGGTGTGTCCTACCTAGATAAAGATAAGTGTATAGATTTACACAAGAGAAATGTGTATGGATGTACCCATGAGAGACAGCAGCACGTAAAACAGATGTTAATTATATTGCCTAATGCCTTTCTGAAAGGTGCTTAGATACCGTAGCTATTGAGCTGTGTAAGAACAGTTTTGCAATAATGTTTTTTTATTGCCTGAGAATGCCTCAAGCAGTGCAAATAGTACTTGGGCGGTAGATTCAAAGAACAACAGAATTTTCAGTCTTCCTAACTCTAAGCTTAGTAAATGTGTTTTCTCATAGAACAAGGTGGGAAGGATGATAAGCCGCTGATGCCAGCTGTTGATGAAAGGCATATTTGTTCAGAAATCACTCTCTCAAGAAAGCTTTCTCTTATGAAGATCATAGTCTTCCTTTGCTGAGTGGTGACTATCAAGAGCAGTGTGTCTTTCACGAGATAAAATTCCCGTTCAGAAATTAAAATTCTGTGATCATATGGAGTTTAATTTCTTACTCCTTATGATCTGCCACTGTCTGTGGGACACTGTGCTTCATCCCTCATTCCTTTCCAGCAAACACGCAGTTGTCCCATTGTGCTCTGGGAAAACCATCTTGAAGAATTTTCATTTCACAGAGAATAGTGGCAATGACTCTTCATGGAGTTTTCCAAACTTATGGGGAATGTAAGTAATTCGTGAATAGGGCCTTTAGTAGGATATGTGGGCTTTTCCATCTCAAACTGTAAGAATCCCTTCCACAAACAAGAATAAAACAGTTCCTTACAGTTTTTGCGCTTTAATCTTTATATTTTCATTACATGACCTTTTCTCCTAATTTCCAGTATGGTAGAACCTTAGCTGCATGTTGTGTGCATGTTTCAAATGACATGTTTATGGGATCTTTTCTCCTTCCTTATCTTACTAATTAGATTGTTCATGGCCTGTTATTCTAAGATTGACTGTACTTGGGGAATGCAGAAATGGAGATTGTTACCTCTATTGCATGGCATCTGGTTATCTCACATGGTTTGTGAAGTTCCCAATATATGAGTTAATGGTAAGCTCTTTACCTCAGGTAAAGAATGCATGTAATGAAAGACTGCTACACCTAGACAAGAGATTGAAACATGCTGTCTTGAAATGTTGTCAGCTAGCTCATTAGAATAACTTCAGTATTTCTGTGAAACTCCACAATTAGCCCTTTGTTTGGCTAGTTATGAACTATCATTGAGATATGCAGTAAGAAATTAAAAGCTCTGTGAAAGAGAATAAAAAATTTACCTTTCTGTAGAAGGAGATCCTGACATTAAAATCTTCACTCTGGCACTGGATAAAGTCCTAGTGAACTCGGGGTTCACACTGGATAAAGGCTTGACAACTGATTGATTTGCAAATATCAGAAAGTGTTCTGTCTTTGAAGAAATAAAATCATGATTTGTACCTGTCTTTGTTTTTAACTATAGATCAAAATAATCAATCACTGCTTAATCAGAAAGTTTTAGGGAATGAAGGAGTGGGTATAAGCATTTACCAGTTATATTGTGTAGATGGCGTGCATACTACTCGTTGCTGGATAATACCAGGTTAATTTTAAGGAACAAGGAAAACAGAAAGGAGCCTTGTCCCTATATCTAATTTTTAATGTTTTTCATTGTATGATTGATATATGAACAGGTCATACAAGCCACTTGACAAAATCTATGATGGTTTCACAAGCAATTCAGTCATATCTCTTCAGTCACCGTAGATGTATATCTAGTCTTTCACAGTCTTTAGGGTTAGTCTCTAAAAGTTGGGCTTTGTTAGCTTGAACCAAAAACAGGTAGAAACACAGAGGAAACTTGATTTTCTTACGCGTGGTTCTAAATCAGTTGAGAACTACACAGTACTGTGCATAGAGGTTTGCTGGCTTGTCACAACACACTGCCTCAGAAGGCATCTGTCAAGTGACCCAGCCCTTTCTTTCTTAGAGGAGATCTTTAAAGCAAGAAAACTTGTACGTGTGACTTAAAAGGCTGATAATGCCGTCACTACCCTTATTCATCCAGCCTGATCTGAGGCTAAAGAATGAAGTTGAATCTCCAGCAGCATCTATCTTGTTCCTTCTGGAGAATTAAAATTCAGGCCAAGCAAAGCAGAATTCAAAGACACACTGCATATCCGTAGGTGTTGTGCTGTTAGGATTGAGTTAGTTAGCTTATACATGAACCCAGGGAGTTAGCCTCAGAACATCTGTGGGATTCCAAATTTTAATACGTGTGCTCATGCACCTACATCTTCTTTGTGCATCTCAATCTTTAATGTTACTGAGCATGCTAGCCGTTCTGCTGACTGACCTACACAATATTTATAATTATATCCTTTTACTCTTTTCCCCTAACAGTTTACTGTTGTGCATCATTCCCTTCATACACCAAGCGCATCTGACAGACCTTTCCTCTTCTATGACCTTCATACTTCCGAACCTCCTGTTGCCTCTGCTACTCTGATTCTTCTGTTGCCTTCCTTTTTCCCCTGCTGGAAAAGAACGTTTTTTTTCTGACTGAGATTTTGGCTTCTTTTATTTTTAAACTCACACATTCTCTTTTAATTATTATTGATTATTTTTGGTTGTGGTTCATATTCATTTGTCAGATGTATGCTCCAGAACTGTATGCTGTGTTATTTAAATCTATATATCACCCTCAAAAACATTATCTGTCATTCTTTTCCACAAGATTCTCTTTATTTTGAGCCATAGTTTAATTTCATTTGGTGTTTCAAAAGAGTGTGCTTTTGGGATGGGGTATCTTACTTTCCATACTGTCTAAAGTTTTAGTGTAAAATTTCTAAAAACATTTTTCGTTTTTAGTTTCTGCCAGTCTAGGTATAACATTTTGCATTCTCTTTTTTTTTTCTATTTTTCTTTTATTGCATCTGTTTTGTTCCTTTGGAACAAAACTAGAACTTGGCATGGCCTAGTCAAGTTGAAGTGCAAGATTCTTTCTATATCTTGGCTATCAATCAAGCTGCCAAGAAAAAAAACCAGGAAGACCTATTGGACCTATAAGGGGCTTAAAAAGAACACCAGGAACCAATACCAAATGCACTGATTCATAATCTTTACTTCTGCTTTCATCCTGGTGCTTAGTATGAGTAATTTTATCTTGATGCTGAAGACATCCTGTGGAAATCAAGGTGTGTGTTCTATTTCTGTAACAAAAATGCAAACACTGTTTGCTCAAGATAAATCTCGTTCCACAAGTCTTCTTTTTACACTTGTACTAGGAATAGTCAGTGAGTTCTAATTAAAATATCAACTCTAGGTTTGTACTTAGCAAAATCTTCTTTGTGCTGCATGAAATTCTTCATGTGAATGGTCCACAAGACATGTATTTTTAATCGTTCTGAACTACAAACAGAGTTTTTATGAGTTGTAATGGTGCACACACCCAGAACTATTCTGACCTTGTATGTACTGTGCTTTAAGATATTCATGTTATTTAAATGAGTGACTTGCAATACATAACTATAATTTAAATGATGAAAAATTATTGTTTTACCCTCAAGCAAATAATCATATTCATCTTGAATCCTTTCCAGGTAGGCGAAATGGAGAATAAGAAAGCAAGGCAATTCTACAGATAATGTGAAACATGACTAAAAAGGGGTTTGACAGTTTTTAATACAAACATGACATGTAGCTAATAAGTTTTAAGTGATTCTTTGGAAAGTATACTTAGTACCCTAAGGGTCTTCTAATAAAAGTGGAGAACTGAACTCTCTGTGCTGCCAGGTACTTTGTAATACCTTCCTAAGACAGGACAATGGTTTAATTGTAAGTCTTCTCTTAAAAAAAAAGCAACTGGGTGTTAACAATGTGAAGATTAAGAACCTAATTTACCCATTCTCATTACTCTATTTGCATCCTATTTGTAACTCCATAGAGTTACATGCTCCATGGAGTTCAGACTAGTATAAAAATGAAATAATGAGGTGGTGAAACAACATTTTTTTTAACATTGAGTACAATGTAGAAGTACTGTGTATTGTCAAAGCAGTCCTTTGCATTGGCACAAGTTTTCCTTAAAGGAGGATCAGGTTTTCAACAAAATTACATTTTTAAAGAGAAAGTTTCCTTGCTTTGAAGGAAGACAGCTATGGTTCCTCTCCACATGGCTGACATGTTTGCTATGAAAAGTGGTCTCTTTTCAGGTGGTCTGCTCCTCTAACTCTTAAAAGCTGTAGGTGAAAACACCAGAAGTTCGTTACTTACACTTAATTTGCCTTCAATTAAAATTCAGAATTTCTGTCTGGAATATGTTTGTGGGAATTAACATTTTTGTGGAATTCCTATGTAAGATATTTTAATGACCAGTTTAAGTTAGGCAGATCTGCCTTTCAGAATTTAAAAAAAAAAAAATTTGCTTACAGTGGCTAATATCCTTTTTTAATTATGATTTCATAAGTTCCAAGTATATATATACTATTAAACAGAACTTACAAAAAAAAAAAATTCAGCATCTTTACAAGGAATCATCTTAATTATAAAAAATTTTACTGTAACATTAGCATAGTTTAAAACCTTCCATTACTGCACACAGTGTGGGAAAGAACTTTTAGTGACACTCATTAAATCCAAATCTGTTGAGTGGAATTGCATAGATACTGTTTCACAACTGTTAATTCATTAGTTGCATGCGTGCAAGGGGGTAGAGTGTTTAAGCAAAGTATGATTGTGGGAATATGAACTTGCTGGAAGTTTGGTTCATGAGCACCAGCTCAGTGATGAGGTACAACTGGGGAATCCCTGCTTGTTCCAGGCTTCAACTCAGTGTTTCTAACAGCTCCTCAATTCAGTTTCTGGAAGAGAATGAGAGTTTTGCAGTCATTTTCAATAACAGGAAGGAATGTCAGTTTAGGTTCATTTGATGGAATCTTAGGTTAGCAATGATATGAAAAGACAGTGGCGTGGGTTTACTCCTTTTATTTTAACGTTGGAGACATCAGAAGTGTAGTAAGAATGATGGAGGAGTTGATAACAAATGGCTAGTATTGCACAATTTTTCATGAAAATGGTGTTACCAGAGCTAGTAAGAAATACATTTTGTATGTTCAGGATTTATCTGCACAATCAAACAGCTTGTTCAAATACTGTCCTTCATGGTAAGATATCTTGGGTGAAAATCAAAAAAACCAAACAAACAAAAAAGAAAAATATCACTGAACTCTTTCAGGAGGACAAGTAAATACACAGATAACTTATAAATGAAGACAAATTCCAGTGTTACAAATCCAGTGTCATTGACATCCAGTGCTCTTAGGGAATAAGGATAGATGTTTAATTTATTATTAGATGTTTCATTTAATATTAAACCCATTCTGATGGATGTGCTCAATCCGTACAAAATCCAGTGAATTAGAAACTTCCTGGTGCACTGGATTTTACTGATATCTTTTTGTACATTGGCCACCAGAGGGAGCCAGTGTTGTCCGAGAGCCGCGGTAGGGAGCAAGCAAGAATAATGTTAAAGGTGAATTTTAACCTAATAGATCCCACACTTGCACAAAGTTTTTCAGTTCTTAGTTTTCAGAATCATTTTTTTTCAGCAACTAGAAAGCAAAAATAATTGTTTTCTAGATTTTTTTTATCAATCTCATCACAAATAAGAAAATGAAATAAGAAAATAAAGTCATTTGCTGGTGATGCCACTGTGATGGAATCTTCCAGGTGCGCGCTCAGATTTTTGCTCTAAGCATTTTCGCAGAGGGTGGTGGCGTATTGGGTTGGCTATTACATTGCATAGATATTGCCTCTATATCTATGGCAACTGTGTCCAAGGCGTGGTAATTAGCGCATATAGTTGCTATACGTTCTTGAGAAGTGCATAGGAGTAGATCAGGTTTAGTGCCAGTATTAAAAGAATGTGTTCTGCTAGAAGGATTTTATCAGCTTGAGTCTTAGTATTTTAAAACATGACCAGATTGGTTTAGTGTCCATCCTCTTTCACAGACAAATGACATTCAATACCAGCAATTCAGAGGCTAAAATCTAGGATTCAGAGATTCTCAAAACATCCTTAAATATTTTTTCTATATTTAATGCTTGATTTTTTTTTTCCTCACAATTGGAATTTTTGAGGATTGAAATGAATATTGTCTTTCCCACTGAGCAGGTTGATTTTTTCTTTCCTTTTCTAGTGACAGGGCTGTAGAATACTAAACTTTGAACTCATTCCATTTTTGTCTTCAGAAAACATGCTACTGGTCCAGCACTGAAACTTACCCTGGGCAGGTAAAATACGGAGAGAATATTCTAAATATATTAATGGGGAAGAGATGTATTTCTCTTTTTTTTTCTATTTTAACTGGAATTATTTAAAGCTTTCTGTGGCATCTAGAGTGCTCCTATAAGTGCCAAGAGAGAATGGTTGGTAGAGAAATCATTCAGTTCATACTGTATGATGAATTGCAAAGACCCATAATGCATTTGTTTATTAAACATATGGCCATCCAATCTGTCATATGCCCATCATCTGTCCCTCTATTCTGCTTTTTCAAAGTAAACTCTGTGGTCATGGTTCTCATACCCTCATGATTTATGTTTACATCCACTTTAAGCCCTCTATTGTTCTGTCCCAGCATAAAAGTGCTTCTTTTTGAGATTTGGGCCATGTGTGTATGTATGATGGCAGTTCTGTCTTCAGAGCTTGGCTTCCAGTCACTACCACGACTCTCAATATATATATAGTACATGCAGTAGGCACCATTTAATTTTCCATACTAAAATACATGTTATTTTAGAAGACAAAATGTAACTTATTCCATCCCTTGAAAATTACAGCCATGTTGTTCTCTGATGTCATTGCAAAACTATGGACTCCCCCTCAAGGACAGTGAAACAAAATTGCTGTCACTGTTGTTTATGTGTTATTCACGCTTCTTATTCATAAGCTGTTATAACACCTGTATGGCTAGAGAAGTCCACTACTAAAATTCATAGGAAGTTGACAAAACAAAAAGTGACATAATTATTCTCTGTTTATCCAGAAGAGTTTACCCATAATAGAAGCTGGTTTTTACTGAGATGGAGAAGGGGAAAGGTGGTCTTTTGTACTTCTCTTCAAGAATCATCTCCTTTATTCTTTGTTTATTGCAAATTCTTCTGTAATGCTCTGACTTGAAGGCGTAAATGGCTGTTGAAAATATCAAGCCCAGTAGAAAGAATTAAGCTGATAACATACTGAGTAGGTATCAACTACTGGGTCCTTTATATTCCTTCGATGAATCTTGACCATAAAAGATTTTTTTTTTTATTATTTTTTCCTGTTCACTTCTAATAAGAAAATTGTAAATTTGGGTCACCAAATCATCTTCATTTTCTCATGCCTTGAGTAAGTTCTAAAGAGGGAGACTGAGTCCTGGGTACAGCTAACACTGGTTTGAAAGGGGGTGTATTTTTTATTCCCTTGCATCTTCACTCTGCTGCCTGCCTGTATTGGAAATAAAACTCGTGATTTTGGAAACTTTGAGCCAAAAGTCAGTCTGACTGTAAGAGAGCACAATTACTTTGAATATTCAAAGAAAATATTTTCTGGTTACCTAAGTATGGGACTGGACCCCAATGAATCAAATAATCTTTCTAACCTCAATATTAGGGTTTTGACTGGTTATTTAACTGTTTCATGGAACGTGGAATAAACCTTAGCTTC